GGGATGATTGCTGGCCAAGCGGCCAGAGGACTAGCCCTGCTGTCCAGGGTGGCAGCTGAGAGTCAGCGGCCCAGTAAGTCTCCTCCAGAGCAGCTGTGACGCAGACCACAGCAGGATGGCAGTCAGAGGGATCACCCCCACCAGCCTGCTGCTCTGCAATGGAAAGGCAAGAAGGGCAGAGAGCACCTGTGGCATGACTGCAGTGCCTACAGCTGTTTCACTCACCTGGTTTTGTAGAGCCTCCCTGTGCTGAAGCAGGAGACTGATTGCCTCTTGCAATCTCTCCATTTCTTCCTTTTGCCTCCTCTCCGCCGCCTTCATCTTCCTCTGAGCTTCCTGCAGCTCTGCTTCCAGCTTTTCCTTGATGTTCTGGAAACACAAAGGGAGAGAAAGTTCCTGGGACGTGTCGTCACGCTCGGGTTTTCCCTCTGGCAAGCTCAAAATCCCATTCATTCAGCCACTTGGCTCTGCTCCTGCAACCCGCTCTGCTTCCAGCCTAAGCCTTCCCTCCTGGGGCTCATCTCTGGAGCCTGCAGGGCTCTGTGCTTTCAGGGCCTGCCGTAGTCCTTCCCTCCTCAGTCCCCAGGTCTACCTTGCAGGCGCTCCCCTCTGTCAGCGGGCTCCTCAGGCTTACCTGCCCATTTTCTCTCTCCTCTTTCACCTGCTGCCTGAGCTGCCCTAGCTGCTGCTGGGTTTGGAGCAGCTCTACCTGAGTCTGGCAGAGCCTCTCCAACAGTGCAGTCTTCTCACGCTCGACTTCTTGCAGGACCTGCACAGAAAGGAAGACACGATGGCTTTAAACTTCCCACACAACGTTGGTGTGGCAAGCCTCAAAGACTGATAGGCTCATGCATTCCCAAAGCACTGCGCTGCTGCTCTCCTGGGACATCCTCTGCCCACTGGGAGGCACAGACTCCTAAGTGAGACAGGCCGTATGAACATGGTCCAGCCATGACTGAAACTCCAGCCAGCTCTTAGGCAGCTAACAGGAAATGGGCGGCATTGCTCAAGTGTCCGATAGCCTTGCTGGCCAGGCTAATCCCTTCTCTTGTGCAAGAAGAGACAGTTCTGGGCTTGGTGTTCTCTTCAGGCCTACAACACTGTCCCTGCCTCCCTTCAATCTACACTCTGGGAGCCTGTCACATGAGAGGCCCTTTCCCTCATGGCCCAAGCTCCCATGGTTGCTAAAGCATCACTCCTGTTTACAAAGGGGCAACTAAGAGACAATTCTACCCAGACGGGTGGTGTCCCGAGAAGCACTAACAATAGGGGGCCCAGAAGATTCAAAAGCACCACACAAACCCTCCTTTCACAGTCTTGCCCTCTTGCTTGGCTCTGCCTCCTACCTTTTCTTGTTCAGCTTTCACGGTGGCAACTTCCTGCATCGTCTCAAAGAGCGTTCTCTCGTGCTCCCTTTCTACCTCTGTCATGAGGTTTTGCTGTTGCTTCAGCAGCTCCCGCGTCTCCAAACGCTGGCCTTCCAGCTCACTTGCCTGTTGAGGGAAGGAAGACACCTGCACGTGAAGCCCCAGCCAAGCTCGTCCAATAAAGAAAGGGAAGCTTCATCCCTCGCACAACCCCCGACCTGAACAGTGCCCAGCAGTGCCTTTGTGCCCTCCAGGAATCCTGTCTGAGCAAGGAACTGAAAAGGAGGCTCAGCAGGGGGAAGAATGGAGAGGTCCCCTTGCCCTCTCTCATGGCTGCCCCTTTCCTGGCACCTCTCTCCTCAGGATTCCTCCTTATTCTCAGAGGCTCTGTAGTCAAAGTTCATGGGTCTTTTGGTGCCGGACAAGCTTTAGACGGACTGCAGGGCCAGGAGGAGGCCAGTACCCCAATGCCCTAGTCACAAGACAGGCCACCATCTGAAGGATCAGGAATAAGGAGCCTGTTCCATAGGCTTCAAGACCAAAGGTAACATCTCTGTCCACGGTGGAAGGACAGAAAGAAAGGAAGCCAGTTCCTGCGACTGCACTTGGCAGCAACGTTAGCAACCCGCTTCATGGCAGGGGGGAGTTGGGAAGATCCTGCCCTTCGCTGCCATGCTTTGGGTAGGGACCAGCAG